CACTTAGGTAATGCCCTTTTTGTGTTGTTTAAAAATGTACACCCCCGGGCCGGCACCATGGTACCATAAGTTGATCCTCCACCTGCAGCGCTGGCATCCCGTATGGGCGCTGATTCTAGTCCCGGCTGCTCCTCTTCCAGTCCAGCTCTCTGCTGTAGCCTGGGAAAGCAGTGCAAGATGGCCCAAGTCCTTGGGCCCCTGCACCCACATGGGAGACCAGGAAGAAGCACCTGGCTCCTGGCTTCGGATCGGCGTAGCTCCGGCCATTGCGGCCATTTGGGGAATGAACCAGCGGAAAGAAGACTTTTCTCTCTCTCTGTCTCTCCCTCTCACTGTCTGTAACTCTACCTGTCAAATAAATAAATAAAATCTTTTAAAAAATAAATAAATAAAAATAAATATACACTCCCGGGGCCAGGTTGAGCTGCCTCCTGCAGTGCCAGTATCCCATATGGGCACCAGTTCGAGTCCCGGCTGCTTCACTTCCGATCCAGCTTCCTGGGAAAGCAGCAGAGGACCGCCCAGGTGTTTGGGCCCCTTCCGTCCAAGTGGGAGACCAGGAAGAAGCTCCTGGCTCCTAGATTCAGCATGGCCCGGCTCCAGTCATTGTGGCCATTTGTTGAGTGAACCAGTAGACGGAAGACCTCTTTCAGTTTCTCCTTCTCTTTCAAATAAATAAAATAAATCTTAAAAAAAAAAAAATACATCCACTCCTGCTTTCCTTAATACCACCAACATCAGGCACTGCAGCGGCTCAGCCATAGCTTTCTGACAAGGTGTATCCTACGAACCCATGATGACACTATCTTTCAAGGGAAGAGGCCTGTTTCCAATAAGGGACAGCAGGAGGAACTGACCAGTGTTCAGGTAGCTTAACTCTACTTGCCTGCCTCGGCAACTGTGAAACACAAAATGCATCTCTCTCTCCTCTTCCCCACTCCTAAAGAGAATTCCCTGCAACTCCTTAGAAGCAGCCTCCTACAAGGTGGACCTTGTGCCATGCTTCAAGGACCAATGGGCAGGAGAAAGGGAGGGGGTGACTCTGTTGTCTGCGTTCAGAGTAGTATTCAAACAAGAAAAGGGTGAATCCTTCCTGATAGCCCTGCTGAATCTGAAACACCTGTCCAGCTGCCATCCCTGGACGGTTTGGGGACACGCTCCCAGCAACAGGCTACAGGAGTGTGGGGTCAACACCCTCCCTTCCATTGCACCAAAGTCCAGACGGCACCGGCTACACCACAGCCCTCACTGCCAGCTACAGAATCCATCTCACATTTAGGACTCTGCTGTCTCTTGTACAACGGCAAGGCACACGGCTTCCTCTTTTCTCCGAAGGCGCGTAACCATCAGTCTCACGTGCTGCTTTGTTGTAAGTGATTTCCTTAACTAGAATCAGGGCTCCCTGAGAGCTTGCAGTCTGCTGCTCACATCTTTAACCCTTGCATACGGCAGGCCCAGAACATCCACCGAACTAAATGCCTACGTGACGGCTCAAAGATCTGAAAAGAGCAGAGAGAGGTTCAACAGAACTATCTGGAATTGTGATTTACACCTGTCTGGTAGCTTCTCCTTAAGAGGAAAAATTAGTTGGTATGAGTAAAGTTCAGACAACAGAGCTCACTATCAAATATATAATAATACATGTGGGCCATGAAAAAAATTTCTATCATTAGAATACTTATAAAAACCTACTCTGAAGGCCGGCATCCCATAGTTCAAACTGCTTCGCTTCCAATCCAGCTCCCTGCTAAGGCACCTGAGAAAGCAGTGGAAGATGGCCCAAGTGCTGGGGCCCTGCACCACGTGGGAGACCGAGAAGAAGCTCCAGGCTCCTGGGCTCCACCTGGCCCAGCCTTGGCCATTGCAGCCATTTGGGGAGTGAACCCGCAGACAGAAGACCTCTCTCTCTCTCTCTCTCTCTCTCTCTCTCTCTCTCTCTGCGTCTCCTTCTCTGTAACTTCATCTTTCAAATAAATAAATGTTTTAAAAACTTTGACTCATCCATTATTATCTGACTCATCTACAGAAAAATGATTTATGTGATTCATCTACAGAAGAATTCCCAATTCTATGTAAATTCAATCCCTCAGGGATTCTCCAGACAGTTTTCCACGGGTCTTTTGCGCGCAGAAGCGAGAGGCTTCAACTACCAAGTGCACGGTGACCTGCCTGAAGCACCAGACACATCACGGTCTCTGCGTGCACTCTGCGGCAAGCAGCCCACAGGAGGCACAGACCTGCAGTCAGCCAGCAGGGCTGCCTGATCTATGAGTAAAGCCTGCAGCTGAAAATACAGGTAGGCACAAAGGAGGCTCCACCAGCAACCGGCTCAGACCCCGTCCACGGCGATGATCGGCCGCAAGCCTGAGCCTCAAAAGACGAACACAGAGAAATGAAGGCACCACCGCCAGCAATGTGTGATGCACACAAGAGTTAAAAGAACCTTTTTTTTTTTTTTAAAGCAAAGTACTTTTGTCAGAGCAGGCACTGTAGAGCAAATCTAAAACAAACAAAGGTTAAGTTCAAAATATGCCACCAGTCATCACAAATAACACCACAGATTTGGGGCTGCTGGGTGAACCGCATGTGAATTCCTAATGACGCCAACCTGCTCTACAGTCAACCACCTCTGTGCTTTAGGCAACACAGACAGACAGACAGACATGGCCATCACGCTGACACTGCAGGCCCAAGGGTTTCCACTGTACTTTCCCCAGTGTTATCCATTGCTAAGAGATGAAACACTGGGTAACACAGCATAAGTCTGTAAGAAGCAAATTCAAACTAAGTCAGATGCCAACCAAAACAATCCTACACTGGAAAACCAACCGTGCGCTTGTCCTTAAAACGTTTAAGCCCCTGGCAGTCGCAGTTTCAGCGAGCATCACACCTCTGAAGAGAGGGAGGTGAGCAAATCACTCGTGGGTCCTAGAAGCAGTACCCCCGAGAGTCTAGAAAGACCCAGAGCTGCAGTAAACAATAACCAGCTGGAAGGAGTCTGCAGGATTCCCCTCAGCGCGGAGAAGCAATCAACTCCTACTTCAACCTCACTCCGCCCCAAACGTCCGGGCAAAACTCTCTTTCGGGCTAATCAAAGCTAACTGATCTGTTAACAAAATACTTTTGAAGGTCCAATCTGAATGGAAATCATCAGATTTAATGACAAGGCTCTGGCCAACAGAGTGATGAATCTCAAGAGGCAGGGCTGAAGGGAATGCAAACACCCCTCAATTTGGGGGGGGGGACCTTAAAGAAATTTACATCTTAACTAAGGCTCAGCCATTACTTGAATGCGACTGGGTGTGCCTGGCGAATTTTTCAAGCCAAGGTGTAACTAGACAGACAAGCCCCGAAGGATCCTTATCTACCTAAACACTTCCCAACTGATTAATTGAACACTATGTTGGTAATTAAGTGAAGGTGAACACAGCACCTCCCATACAGTGGGAAAACCTAAAAGACTTCTTTAAAATAATGATTTCCTCCAACGCATGACCGGACCTACAACACAGAAATCTCATACTGACTTTTCATTGTGAGGGATTCTGGAAGGGGGTGGGGGGGCCCCAAATACCTCGATAAGAAAACAAAAAAAAGTCAGAACGCCCCCTGGGACCCTGTCACATACACGCTTTTCCAATCAACAGCTTTCAATCCCGTTGAAAAATGCTACTGGAGAGGGCCTCTGAACAGGAACTCGGCAAGAATAATACACAACTCCGGGGAAGCCACGAAAGTGTTGATCTCAAGCTTGGGGCGGGGTGGGGGGGGCGCTTTTGTCTGAGAGGCAAGGCCGTGATAGAAACGGGAACTTGACAGAGAAGCGATCACAACTGCCCACCACAGAGCGCTGGGTGTCATTGTTGTCCGGGGGGACTTCAGACACCCGTGGCCTGACTTACTCCATCTTTAAAAAAAAATTTTCACTCAATCAATCAGTCTTCCCTGGACCCATCCATTGTCGAGAGAACACCGGCTGGCGGCCAGGATTCGACTCCGCAAGGGAATCAGCCAAGGAAAAGCCAGCCCCAACACCGCACGCACGGGGAGAGCAGCCCTAACGACAAAGGTGGTCCCGACACGGCCCCCGGCTGGGGGGCTCCCCGGGGTTAAGGGCTCAGGCTCCCCAGGACCCTCCACGGTGCACCCCGCATTGTCAGCACGAGGAAGAAACGCCGCTGCGGATTTCCCCCGGGGTCTGTCGCCCTCTCTGAAGCCGGGCCGGGGGCTGCAACCCGGGCGCGGGGCCTCCAGCAAAGGCAGAGGCGAGGGGCGAGCTGTCAGGACCCTGCTCGCGCCCGCCCTGCCCAGGCGTCCGGGCGCAGCTTTGTCTCGGCAGGGACGCTGGGGGACCCCCACCCCACCCCGGCCCTGCTCGGCCCCCTCCCAGGGAAAAAAAATGAAAATCTAAAACCACTCCTGCCTTCCCTCGAGCAAGACGGCCGGGGCCTGTTTGAAAGGGTTGGACTGTACCGAGGGCTTCCCCCTTTTTTGGCGCGGGCCCTTCGTCCGAAGCCTGCGGGTTGGCTCGCGACCTGTGGGAACCCCCTCCCCCGGGCCCATGTTTTCTATACTTCCGAAGTTTTATTTTTATTTGCCAAATGGTCTCCTATTTACAGGGGTGGGGGATATACGGGGCTGGTAGTTT